AGTAGTAGTTTAGTAGTAGTAGTTTAGTAGTAGTAGTAGTAGTAGTAGTAGTAGTAGTAGTAGTAGTAGTAGTAGTAGTAGTAGTAGTAGTAGTAGTAGTAGTAGTAGTGGTAGTAGCAGTAGTAGTAGTAGTAGGTCGTAGTAGTAATATTAATAGTAGTAGTAGTAATAGTAGTAGTAGTAGTAGTAGTAGTAGTAGTAGTTAGTTAAGATAGTCGTAGCTAGTAGTCTCGTCATAGTATAGTTGGTAGTAGCAGCAGTCGTAACAGTTTATTGGCAGAATAGTCGTAGTAGTAGTAGTCGTAGTATAGTTGTAGTAGTAGTAGTAGTAGTTAGTAGTAGTAGTTAGGAGTAGTAGTAGTAGTAGTAGTAGTAGTAGTAGTAGTAGTAGTCGTAGTAGTAGTAGTAGTAGTAGTAGTAGTAGTAGTAGTAGTAGTAGTAGTAGTAACAATAGTAGTAGTTAGCAGTAGTAGTAGTAGTGGTGGTAGTAGTAGTAGTAGTAGTAGTCGTCGTCGTCGTCGTAGTCGTAGTCGTAGTCGTAGTCGTAGTCGTAGTCGTAGTCGTAGTCGTAGTCGTAGTCGTAGTCGTAGTCGTGTAGTAGTAGTAGTAGTAGTAGTAGTAGTAGTAGTAGTAGTAGTAGTAGTAGTAGTAGAAGTAGCAGTAGCAGTAGTAGTAGTAGTAGTAGTAGTAGTAGGTTTAGTTAGTAGTAGTACGTGTTTAGTAGTAGTCGCAGTAGTCGTAGTAGTAGTTAGTAGCAGTAGGAGTAGTAGTAGTAGTAGGAGTAAGTAGTAGTAGTAGTAGTAGGTAGTAGTAGTAGTAGTAGTCGTAGTAGTAGTAGTAGTAGTAGTAGTAGTAGTAGTAGTAGTAGTAGTAGTAGTAGTAGTAGTAGTAGTAGTAGTAGTAGTAGTAGTAGTAGTAGTAGTAGTAGTAGTAGTAGTAGTAGTAGTAGTAGTAGTAGTAGTAGTAGTAGTAGTAGTAGTAGTAGTAGTAGTAGTAGTAGTAGTAGTAGTAGTAGTAGTAGTAGTAGTAGTAGTAGTAGTAGTAGTAGTAGTAGTAGTAGTAGTAGTAGTAGTAGTAGTAGTAGTAGTAGTAGTAGTAGTAGTAGTAGTAGTAGTAGTAGTAGTAGGAGTAGGAGTAGGAGTAGGAGTAGGAGTAGGAGTAGGAGTAGGAGTAGGAGTAGGAGTAGGAGTAGGAGTAGGAGTCGTAGATCTGGCTCAAGCCAAGGTCTCTGGCACCTTGGCTGAGCCGCGCGCGCGGGTTCCGTCGGCGGCCGCTCATGGTTTCTCAGGTCCAGCCATGGAGCGCTTTGGCTGGAGCGGTGGCGGAGGCCGAAGCTTCCACTTGGGGATGCTCACCTCGCTGCCCCAGAGGCCGCCGCAGCCGCAGCCGCCCGCGCGCCTGGCGTCGCCGCTGACGAGGGTTGCACTCGAGAACAACGACAAGATGACCAGGCAGGTCTGCCTCACCTCAGGACCGGAAGCGGCCCCCGGAGTCGCCATAGAAGCAGAAGACGGGGCGTCGGGTGTGTTTGCGGCCGGCTCAGCTGACACTTGAGCCTCCGCCGAGCAGTCTGCGGAACGAGGGGAATATCAAGCAGGACATCGCCACGACCCAGATGAAGCTGGCGGAGGCGTTGGCCCCACGCCGCAAACGGGAATTATAATTACACGTAGCTATGGTGGGCCGCCGCCTGGCGCAGATCATCACGGCGATCAAGTTCGAGCTCACGGTGTTAGACTACCTGAGGAAAGGCAGATCTTCACCGCCCACGGGCCCACGGCCCGCTTCCAGACGTACGCGGACGACGCCGTGACCCTCTTGGCGCCGCAGCCCCACGCGCTGCGGCAGAGCTCACCACCACCGACGGGAGGGGCCGACGAGGAGCCAGTGCCCGGGCCGGAGGCTGCGCCGACGCCGCTGGGGCCCTGCCGCGAAAACTCGTGCCGCTCGCGCAGCAGGAGCCGCAGCCTGAGTCTCGACTGGGGCGGCAGCCCGAGCCCAGTCTGCAGTCCCGACGAGCGCGCCTGAGCACTCCTGCTGGGGCCGAAGCAGCGGAGCCGCAGGGCTCCACAAGTACCCGTTGAAGCCCAATCTTCTTCGACATCTCTGCAGGCGATCTCGTCCCTCTTCGCCGACGTGTGCGCGCCCCCTCTCCGGATATTTTGGAAGCCGTTGACGATTCTGCGGACCTCCACCCGGCGTGGTGGGGTGATGCCATTCGCCAGGTTGGTCTCCTTGAAGTCTTTCTTCAAGTCTACCCTCGTCTGCGGCCTCTTCCTCGCCAAGGGGATGGTGAATTTCTTCCTCCGATGCCTGGGTCGGGTGGCGAGGCCCCTCATCAAGATGACCATGCAGCTCTTCCAAAAGTCGGCGACGCTCCGCATCCAGCCAGCCAGGACGCCCCACAACATGATGAAGTTCTGCAGCCAGACGGCCGGCAGGTAGGAGAGGATCCTCATTCTGATGATGAGTTTCATTTTGTCACTGAAGCTCGTGATGG